ACAACACTCTTGGAACGTTTCACTTTCTCTGAAATCTCTCTAATGGTGTGCTTTTCCTTGTGTAGCTTCACAATAGCTTGTCTCACAGAGTAATCAAGTTTTTGGCGTTTCGCCATGGTGCCGGTTGATGCAACATTTACAAATGACTAAGTAAGACTTGTTCTTTAGAGGAAATCAAAAAATTTGAATATAGCATACTGTTTACATTGTTTTTCTCAATTTTGTCCCTTACTTTTGGACGATCCTATTTTGAAAATAAATAAATAATTGTTATAATTCTTTTTCTATCCTTTGCAAATGATTCAAATTTTAGTATGTTATTATGGATGGTAACGACTACCAGTTGTCAAAATTTCAGCTCTTCACAATTGTTATTTCTAACAAATATTAGGTTTTAAAATTTTGTCCCTTAGTTTTGGACGCTACTGTGTGTATATATATATATATATATATATATATATATATATATATATATATATGGTGGAAGTGTAAAATTTAGGCCCCTACTTTTCCCAAAAAAATTCTGAACCAGGCCAGCGATTTTTCAACACCCTCTCCCTATACAGCTCTTAAGAACCAGGCTTGATAAACTTGTTTTGTAAATTAAACTGAAAAGGCTTGAATAAAAATATAATTTTTGTGTGAGCAATAAAAGACATTGAAAGATTTTTATTGGTTTTTTTTATTAAATAGGTTCTAAAAAAAAAATAAGCAGATGATCTAAATTAAAACACCTGGTCTTTTCACCTGAAATTTTATATACACTCAATTTTAATACAAATTCTCAAAAAAAAATATTCTACCATCTTCTGGTTTGATATTTGTGTAGCAAGACAATATACATCTGATAAATCTTTTATTTCTGATTCTTAAAACAGTTTAAGATTTAATTCTGTATTTTTCAGTATTTTAAATTTATGCAAAAATAACTTTTAGAATGTTTCCACACTTTAAACTATTAAACTAAATTTAGTCTTGTTTCCTTTGACTTCATGTAAAGAATCTAATATTAAGAAATGATCAGCAACAATCCAATATTAAGAACTATTATGATTATAGCAGTCCTTTGTCTTAACATAATTCATTATATCCTACATGAATAAGGCATGTAGAGTGATTTACTGCACATCATTGCTTTTGGTTACTAAGCTGAAGCAATATCACCTATTATGGTTTGTGATTGGATACTTGATAATTTATGCATGCTGCTGTTGCTACTTTAAGAGGGAAAAAGATTATTAACCCACCCTATTCCTCCTTGTGAAGAGGTTGGTTTTCTGCCTGGACTGAACTGCTCATTGTAGAAATGAAACCTAAAAAGCATGAAAATAGAAGTAGATGCCTACTACATTTTTGTTTGTGATAAAAAGTCATATCTGGCTATAAGGCAGTAATATCAAACCATATCATCATTTGTGCTATCATCTGGCAAAACTTTAAATGCATAAATACTTTAACTATATAGTGTTTTAAAACTGATAGTGTGTGGGTATATGTCATGTTTGAAAATAATAATTTGCTGATACAAGAGAATTGTTGCCAATGTTCATGTGATTCCATATTGAAGAAAGGAAAAAACTCCCCTTAAATAAAAACTTTTAAAAATGTTTTAATTGTAAAAGAAAATTTATATTGAGCTCAATTGATTTCTATGAATTAGGATTTAAAAAATAACATTGTATTTGTAAAAGTTTAAAACTTTTGCCATTAATTTGTAGATTGTGCAATTCTTTGACTTCACTTTTACTTTATTTTTATATTGGAATATAGAAAAGTGATAAGGCTTTTGAAAATATGCTGAAGATTTTCAATAAATTTTGCAAAGTCAATAAAAAAAAACAAAAAAAATAGGTATTTTATAAAAATCATAAAAATTAATGTTGAATAATTTAAGCATTGAATGTCTTTCCTTCCAACCTTTACATTGCTGACCTATTCCTTTTTAATCACTTAAGTGAGCACTAAGCATATTTATTAAAAAAGAAAAAGGCTAATTGGATGACTTGTGACTGATGTCAACAAATTGATGATTGCTGTGCATATCATGTCTTCATCTCTCAAGGCATTTTAGTGCTTTCATAGAATTAAGAGATGCTTGGCTTAAAAAAACAAAAACAAAAAAAACACTTTTATATTTGTGTGTGTGTTATATTCAAAGTTTTACTTTTTCTTAAAATTAAAAAAAAATTCTTGTTTTGTTGACAGTTTTATTTTGAAGTTCTTTTTTAATTTATTGAAATCATTTTTGTTAATACATTTGATACTAAAATTTAATTTAACGAATAATTTCATTTTTCTCTTTAATTTCGTCCTTTGAACACTTGTATTTATAAATCTCAATAAATAATCTTATAGATGTAATAATCAGTATTATAGCATTCTTAACCCTGTGTTAATCACGTGGGGTGTTTTGTTACCCCAGAATTTTTTTTTTAAGTACTTCTAATTCCTATTTACGGTATTTACAATGTTCGAACTTTTGTACTCATTTTTGTTGTCATATTTCCAATGTTTTGGCCATTGTACAATCCAGCCTTCTTCAGGTGATTGGAAATTCGAACTGAACCCTTTATTTCGTCCACTGACGTAGATTGTTCTACTTCCACGTGCCATGCCTCTTCCAGATATCTCGGTTTCAGTTATTTCCCTTTAACTCAAATCGCCTGAAGAAGAATGGAGCATACAATAGCTGAAACGTTGTGAATATGACAACAAAGATGAGGACAACAGGTTGAACATTGTAAATAAATACAATACCTCATCTCAGAAATAGTCGTAATTACTAGTTGGCATATTGTTTCTTTTTCTCCCTCCCACTACTCTGTCCTTACTTGGTAAGGGCATGTTGCACACTGCATGATGCAGTTGTAACTTAGGTGTCATGGGTGGCAGATGTCACTTTGTCTTCCATTTTTGGAAATCTGAGGTGACTGACACAGGGTTAAGTCTTTACAAAAGAAATATATTTCTTATATAGTTCTAGATAATCTCAGTATCCTTTATTTCAGGAACATTAATGATATTTTCAGTATTTCTTGCTTCTTTTAAGCACTTTAATAAACTCATTTAAAGAAACGTAAATACCTCTTAAAAAAGTGGAAGTTTGAATGTACGTTTTTAATCATATTTTTTTAGTTTTTAAATACATTTAAAAACAACAGTACTTTTTTTGGCAACAAAATGCCCATAAAAAAAAATCTTTTTTTCTTTCTAATAAATATTTAAATTTTATTTTGTTAATGCCAGCCTGTAAGTGTAAAATCTTATAACTAAGTTAACATAATCATCTCTTTTATTTTCTTTTACATTTGTAAATTGTAAAAAAAAAAACAATTAATAAAATCAATAGCTTATAATTGATCTGCTCCTTATTTTTAAGGCAAATCTGTCAAAAAAACAATTTTAACATGCCAGTAAGTTTATGTTTATCTTCTATAAGTACTGCTGGAAAACTAGACAAGTCTGAATAAAACTATACTTTCTCAGGTAGACATGTGCTTAAAATTGTTGCATTTATTATTTTAAAATGTTCTATTAATTATTAAAGTTATATCTTTGTTTTATTTACAATAAGACTTTGTCAACTTTATTCTGTATTGTGGGGTAACGGTATTTTTATTTACTACTTAAAAAATTATTACCTCGTTTGTCAATAGCAATTCCCTTTTAATCAGTGTTACAGATATGAGAAAACAGCTTTTTTTTTCTTTTTTTTTTTTTTTAAAACATTTATTTTTATTATTTAGTAATATAAAATATAGATAAGACAATTGGCTACTTTCATGAAACCAGGTGAGATCTCTCTTCAACCAGAGAGGGTTTACTTGTTATAATTATATATAAAATATATAAAATCCTATTTTAGTCATTTATTATTACAAGGAGGTACTGAAAAGTTTTCAAACTGACCTATTTCACAAAATGTGTATTTCAATTATATCTTTTTTTTGTGGTTTGGTTTGGGCTGAGATCTTTTCAGCATTTCCTCTGGAGGAAATCTTTTAATTTGTCTGTAATTTATATAATTTAAATTTTTATTTACATCAGTAGTCAAGATTAATTTTTTTTCTCATTTGGAAGTATAAATTTGATTCATACGGCTTTCTTTATTTTTCAAGAAAATATTAATACTTGCTCCTCAGAATTACCGTATATACTTGAATAGGTAAAAAAAATTTTTCACCAAAAATTCAATTAAAATTAAGGATGCTCATATTTGCCATTTATTTATGACAAAAGACTATCTTTTTCAAATGATTTTAAAACTGATTATGGTATCCAAATTTTTGTCTAAACAGAGCAGTCCTGCACTCGATAAATACCATGCAATTATAACCTATCACAATTTCAGTTAGTTATTTAGTGCAGAGTAGTCATTTACCAATATACAAAATCTTGATTAACCATGATTTTTACTGGTACCAGTAGTTTACCAATTTTAATAATTGCAAAACCCTAATTATGAGTAAGATAAAGTTATGAAGTAGGTTTTAAGCTGAAAGTGATGGATTATTCAGAACATAGAAACAGATCTGCAGAATGAGTGTTTGTAGTTTCAGAAATATTTAACAAATATTAATTTTAAAAACATCCATGTAATGCCCCAGATCATAGTGCAACTTATCTGTAAGTCAACCGCAAATACCCACATTGAAAACCCCAAACCTATATGCAACTATATACAGTATATGCTTTCAACATATAATAATTATGTAAGTTTAATATAACGATGTTAGGAGGAGGAAAATTCATTTTTTTTCTTTCCCATAATTCATTGTCTATTAAATATTAATATGCTAAAAAATATATTCTTTATTTTATGGGTTGTCTTGAAAAAGATTGTGATGGCAAAAACAAAATGGGATCCGATTCTGTTTAACTCTTATAAGACTGTAAATGCAAGCTTTTCAGTAGTATAAGCATTTATATATCATAAAATCTTATTCACGCAATATTTTTATTTTATTTGTTCAATTTTATCTGTATTTTTTTTTTTCCAGTTAATAACCGTGACCGTCTTCCCAGCACCGACTCTTTCGGATCTGCCGCGGGCTATCCAGCCATTGCAACTCTACCCCGTCATGATGGAAAAGATCGTCATGACAAAATGCGAGGGGTGCCAACTCCTCTGGCTAACCTGGGTATGCAGAACAGATATGGTGATACTGATGATGGTCGAGTGGTTTCAGCTCCTAATGTCAATGATGCTGAGCGGCTTGAGAGAACAGGATCTCCAGATGTAAGTTGTTTTGCTTTTACTTATGCTTAGAAAAATTGTCTATTAGCTTATTTATAGAAGTTATTTGTTAATTGCTTCTTCTTAATTAGCTTTATTTGCCAGGCAAATCTTTTTTTCTTTCAGGGATTGTTTATAGCAATGCTTTCTCAAACTTTTTGCATCCACTAGCTTTCTCGTCATAACTAAGTTTCTCTCTTTAATAAATTAAAGACTTTTAGAAGTTATAACTCACAGATGAAAGTAACGGATGTTGTTGACATGACTATATCAATATTGCATCCTTACTGTAAGACTTAAATTTTAAAAATGTATTCTTAGAAGAATACATTGATGAAGAGGATGTCATTTATTCTCATCACAAATGATGCTATCAATCTTATATTGTTATCAAAGTCATTCATTGCTTAAAAGTAATTTAAAGTCCATAAATTTGCTATTTTTATAATAGTCAATAACAATTCAATAACAATGAATCTAATTTGTACTTATTTTAATATTCTTTGCTTAATGTTATCTTTTATTTATTTTATATTTTTTCTCTCACTTAATTTGGAGATTAAAAATCAATCCATAATAAATATTCTTTCCATTTGCATAATTCCCACATATGTGTTGATTTGTAAAATCTTTATGCTTGTTAGATTATCTACTTTGACAAGTAGATTGTTATTGTATGTTCTAACAATTTATAGCCAGAAATATGAAAATACATAAATGTCATTTAATTTTCTGTTAGGATTGAGTACATATAAATCTTTCCCAACATTAAAGCCAAGAAAGTTGCTTGATAAGCATAAAGATTCTTATTTCAATATTAACTTTCTATAATAGTCTCCTCCTTGTATAGATTCCTAAAGATAGTTTTTTTTGTTTCTGCCCAGAATGTTGTCATTGACATCTCTAGTCAGTTTTAGGTACTATAGGTACATGTATCACAATTTTTTTTTTTTTTTTTTTTTTTTTTTTCCTCTCTTCTAAACAACAAAACAAATGTACTTTGAGCAGAAATTAATTAATTAGAGAATTCCATATTTGGGGCTGAAAATGACTTACATGACACTTATAAGGAGGCATGGTGGAGTAATGGATAGCGGCTCTGGGTGAGGAATCGGAGAGCTGAGTTTGAATTCCAGTCTCATCCATTACGTTCACTTATGTGCTAAATACCCTTGGGAAAGGTATAAATCCTCTTCTCCCCCCAGTTATGGGTAAAATAGCAAGACCAGACTGGGTTCTATAGCCTTGGGTAGCAACCAGTCTAGGAGAAAGTAAATCTAAATTCAAAAACTGTGTGTAGCCCTGGCATAGTACATACTATACAGCTAAATAAAGGATCGTTTGCATTGGCTCGATGATCCAGACTGCAGTCAACCTGGATGGATGGATACACATATAACTTGATGTCTTAAATTGCGTTGTAGATTTTTCAAATAAAATACAAATAAAGGCAAAGAAGTAGAGGCGTTAGTTTAGTGTAGAAAGAAGTTTTGGAAATTAAAAAATAGATTTAGAATTGTCACTTATGCTTTAACCAAAAAAAACAAAAAAAATTTTGTAATGGAAAATACATTAAAAATGAGTCTCTTGACTAAGAATTTGCATCTGAACTGGTTCTTTTCAGATCTAAATTCTGGTGTTACTTGTTAATTGGCAAAAAGTGTTTTAGAGCAGACTGGAAAAAATCATCTTTATAGTTTGAAGATAAGTCTTCATTAAGCTATTTATCCTTAGTACTGAATGCTACCTCTTAAAATAGGAGTGCATTCTATATACCTACATTTCTTTCATGCAAGCAGATCATATTTAAAATAATGTGATTGGACCTGATTGGACAACCACACATCACCATAACTACCATTCAAATTAGCTACCAGTGCCACCAACCTTCAAAAATGCTAACCTGGCTAATTAAGGGAAATAACTCGCAACCACAATCTGATCAACATTAAAAGTAAATGTAAAGATTTACAATCCTATCAATCAAAATGTTCTTAACTCTTAATATGAATATACATTTTCGTAGTTTCCTCATAAGCGCAAGAAATTTATTTTTTTTATTGATGTCAAATGTTTAATATTTGTTTTATATCTTGAAAAATTTTAATTTTATTTGAGGTTTTTCTATTTTCCCACATTTTTGTTATCTGCTTACATTCATAAAGATTTTCTCTAGGTAAGTAAGCTTTGCCTTGCTGAAATATAAAGTTTCTATACAAGTTTACTAGTGCTTTTGGCTTAAAAAAATTAAAGAAAAAAAAAAA